ATATAAAATATTGACGTGACTGATCGTGCAAAATAGAAAGAGATGACAATGACACCTACACAGGAGGGCATACAATCTGTCTTCTATTCTTTTTCGCCAATCAGCAAAAGACACAAACGTTTGAAAAATCAAACGGTCTAAAAGTCTTTATGTAATTAAGAGGGTCAGCCCAATGGAAAAGGACTCGAATCAATCAGTCCACAAGTTTAATGCTTCAAATGGTCTCATGTCTCACTTTAAACTATACAATCAACGTAACTACTACCGGTGGCTCAGTAATTGAGATGAAGTGACTTGTATTTTACCGGTATATCTGGTTTTGATTTTTAATGATGATGAATCACATTATGGTTTCCAAGAAAAGGTTGAAATACTTCTAGCTCTTGGAATAGTAGACGATCGTGGCAAAACCACTAATTAATTTCTTTTTAAAAAATAAAAAAAAATTGTTATTGGCACTTAAAAAATTTTATTTTACACTCCAAACTTTCTATATTTAGAAAGAAAAATACACTTGTGAAGAGTGTAGAATGAGATTTTTAGAATGCCAATAACACCTTAAAAAAAATACACAATCAAGATGATTGACATACCGTATCAAAGCCATCGACTGATTCTTTTTTCTAAAAAGAAAAAAAAAATACATAATCAACATGATTGACATGACAGACGTTATGTTGTAGACTTCCATGTTCAAACCTTTTGTTGTCAATTGTGTTGTTTATGTGGTATATACACATGGGCATGTAAAACATTTCGCTCGTTACATTTCGCGTAGGTTGTGTTGGTTGTGTTGTTTTACGTGATAATTTTATAAAGGAATTTGAGATAGAGAATTGTTATTAGCACATCAAAAATTTCATTCTATACTTCAAACCTTCTATATTAAGGAAGAAAAATACACTTATGAAAAGTGTAGAATGAGATTTTTGAAGCGTCAATAACACTTTCCTTTGAGATATTTCATGTGTTAGCAAAAATGTCAATCAAAACATTATGTTAATCGTGTTTTTACAATTTATCCGTAATAAGTGATGTAGTTCACGTAGTATTGAACACACAGTATTTTAACTGAATTATACATCCAAATAGAAAGAACGAAAAAATCGAGTTAATTTCTTTTAACTGACTTACAAAAAAGAAAGAAGGAAATAATTTTTTTTTCATGGAATTCACGTATCCAAGAATTGTTGACTGTTGGCTCAAGCACTAATTCGATTCTGCGGATTCTTGTTCGTGTTATCAGCTGCATTTCGTCTTCTCCGACATCTTCGGATGACAAATACAATTATACCAATGATAATTCCCAGAGCAATCAGACCTGAAAATGTAGAAACAAGATTTCTATCAGCTGCAACTCGGAACGAGATCGAAAAATTGAAAGAAAATAACAAGTTTGTCAATGTTTGTACAAATGCGACAGTAATATTACCTCCCACAACGATTGCAGCAATTATCCAGTTTCCTTCAGCTCTTGTCAATTCTTTGTACTCTGCATTTCAAAAAAAAAAAAAAAAAAAAAAAAGTGTAACATTAGAGAAAACGAAAACATAATCATGAAGCAAATTGCATAATTTAACGGTTAAATATGTGTTGAAGAATTTTAGAAAATTTAACAGATGAATCTAAACAACTTAAAACGCAATATAGGAACTGACCTTTTTGACAGATATAGGTGAGTGGCTTATCCATTGATTTTACTACGCATTGTTTACCAGCCAAAGAGCAATCTCTGCATTTAACTGACCATCCAACTTCAAAGCCAGCTTTCAATAGTTCCATGACGGCCTCATAAGAATTGAACTTCGTAGCATCTTTACGAAGATCGACAGGAGCCAACGAAATGACAGAGCATGATTTTTGAGGTTCATAATACGAGTAATCGCCATCATAAACAGCATAGACGTAAGTCCCGTTTCTTGTCAGGCAAGGAACCACTGTGTGATTAGCAGCTTCCGGCACGCTGCTGATGTTTGTTGAGCACTTGACGAACCGGAAACGACTTCCTGGGTTCCACCCATATCCCATGAATCGAGCATCCCGGACAAACCCGTTCGTTGTTTCGACAGGACCAGACGGAAGGCCGCAGGTTCCATTGGCGAGGTTGACGTCGACCAAACGGAGTGTGTGATCATAGTAGGAAATGTTGCGCACGTAGTATTTCCCGGGGAAAATCTCTAGGATGGGTTTGTTATCGACGCAAGAGAGCTCGTAACCGGAGTCGCCGCAGCCGGATGGATCGCCCTTGAGGCGAAAAGGGTAGCTGATGTTTTTTATTTCTCCGCATGAAGACGAACAGTTGGTTTGTGCTTGAATTTGAACGAAAAATGGCAGAATCAGCAGAGAATAGAGAAGAGAAGATGTATATTGGACCGTCCTCATGATTATATTATATGCTTTTGCAGAAAAGTTATGAATCTCAGAACTTTGGGTAAATAATTTCGGATGAAGCTCTGCATATATTATATATAGTCTTCTGGAACGCCTCATAATTGTTTAGGCGTGTTGATTTTTATCCAAAGTTTGGAACGCCATGGCCCATCTTCTTAAAGGAAATCTCCATTGATGTTCCACTGTTAGTCAACGAAAGGGAGAGGGTCAAAATTTCCAGCTCCTCGTTGTGGGTTTTTGTCCTTTTTTTTTTTTTTTTTTTTTTTTTTAGGGAACTTTAGCAAAAAAATTTCCAGTACTGTTTACTTTAACGAAAAATTATATTTTTACACTAAAAAATCAATCATAGTACTATTCATTTTACCGTTTATTTTGTCCTTATAATTAAAACTCAAAATTTTCAAACTATTTTTCGTTAGTTTTTCTTTTTTCTAAAGATAGTAATGACTGTAACTAGTTGCCTACAATAACTGTTAAAATTGTTGAGTGACATCTTTGTAAGTCCACACCCACATTATATTTTAATAATTTAACCATTTATTTTTGAGATTTTCCTTTCAAGTTATTTACACAAAAAACAATCAAATCGATGATAGTCATTTTAGTGTTTGTATAAAACACAATATTCTTCTATTTTTCCTCACTACAATACTGTTGAATATCTTGATTGTTATGGATTTGTTTGAATGATCTATAAATAATGAATTGAAATATAAACCGTTCAAATAATTAAAATAATTACATAATAGACATTATAAGGTGTGCCTCAAACATAATTTCATTTGCAAAATTGAGGTAAAACAAATGACCAAGTAGATTGAAGCTGAAATAGACTAAAAGAAGACAAAAAGATGCAGCACCGACAACAAGAATCTGTATACTTATAGATTTAGCGTTTGACTCTGTTTTGCGTGCATAATACTTTCTCTTAAAGAGCACGACATCCCGAATTGAACACACTGCTTAGCTATGAAGTTCAATGAATTAAAACCATCTGATGTCGTTTAGACTTCCAAAAACGAATTTTAGAATTTCTAATTAAAATAAGACGTTTCGTTTTTTGTCCGATTACTTCTTTTACATTCCCTAAGATTCTCCTAAACTTCTCAAGATTCGAGTTAATTATATTTAAGCCTTATAACTGATGTTATAATCGATATTTAAGAATTATTGAAATAGTGTATTTCAAAATCTGATGAATTTCTAAACATTTTTCTTTAAAGACTTACGTTGATATCCTTTTTATGCTCGTGCAGCGTCAGAAATTCCTCGATAAAAGAGTACGCAAAATTTAAACTTAAGTGCAACTAGTTAACTCATATTCATGGATGTCACAGACACGTTATTTGAAAGTTGAAGACTGATGCTGCGGTGTCTTGAAATGGATAACCACACAGTGTGTCATTTAGCTGCCCATACTCTGGAGAAATTTTTGATTATGATGGGAACACGAGTGGTACATCATGTGTTTTTATGTAAGTGATGGAAAATTTTATTTTTTAAGTTATTAACTTTTGAACACACATATCTCTTACTATTTATATAATAACACGTAATATATCACCTCGTATGTTGATCACACAAAATAATCTCTTTATAGTCTGCCTAGATTTTTAATATGCAACTATCCCGTCCACCCCAGGATTGAGAATTTCAAAGGTCAAAGTCAATTCCCCATTTTCCATGGTCCTCATCCATAGACGCCACTCATCAATCAAAGCTGAATTTCAGTAATTCCCACTTCCAAAGAAGAGTGAGGATCCTCACCAGAGCTTTTTGTCAGGATTCCATGAATCTTTCAATTACATATGTTTATCATATATTGTACGCTCAATTTTTATTAGATATTATTTATATTCAATTTTAAATAAAAAATTTACAATGATTTCAGATCACACGATGATGAACGAATGTGATTTGAGGATTCTCGAGATCCTCATAAAGAGAATTCGGCAAGGATCCTCACATTCCAAAGGAGAGAGGATTCCGATGATCCTCCAATTACATCAATTCATCGTACATCGTGCAACAAATTTTCGTAAAGTACTGTTTATATTCAATTTTAAATAAAAAAAAATTACAATGATTTTTTACCGCACTATGTACGATAAACATAGGTGATTTGAGGATCTTCGCCGAATCCTCCAATCACATCTGTTCATCATACATCGTGCGGTCAGTTTTCGTCTGGTACTGTTTATATTCAATTTTAAATAAAAAAAATTACAATAATTTTTAATCACATGATATACGATGAGTGAATGTGATTTGAGGATCTCCAATTTTTTTCACGCTCCAAAGAATACCAAAAGCCAAAAGCTAAGGTCCTCAAAGCACTTCCTAGAAACACTTTTTGTAGCAAGTATTTCTTCTGCTAACAAGTTTTTTTTTGATAAATTTGTTTAATTGTAAACACATTTTAATGAAAACTAAAATAGTATCATGGAAAAGCATTTTCATTGTTTCTATATCCCAAAACGTTTTTAAGTTTTTCTAAAAAATATAATAATAAACGGTTTTCAAGTCGGTAGGAGATTATACTCTTTTAAGAACCAGTTTATAACAAGTGGCCCAATGAAATGAGGCCTATTTGGAAATATATACGTGCCTCAATGGCCAATAACTAAAGAACTAGACCAAGTATCTGAATTACACGCATCAACAAACACCGCAAAAGCATCTGAATTTACACACATAAACATACAAATGTTAAGCTCAAGAACTGTTGATTTCTGTCGTCAAGGACTGCTGATTTTGATTCTGGAGATTTCTCTTGGCTTCGTTTCTAGTTCTACGACATCTTCGGATCACGACCACCATTATAAGAATTATACACAATAGACCAATTAGAGCTGAAAATGCAGAGAGAAGATTTCCGTCAGTTGCAAACTGCTATGGCTAAAAAAATTGCAAGAACAATTACAATGGAATAAATAGAATACCTCCCACACCAATTGCTACATATATTAAGATTATTTGAAGTTCTGTGGGTTCTTTGCACTCTGCATCGACAAAAATCACAGTACTAGATGTTAAAATATTTAAAAGTTTAAGTGAAAAAAAAACGTTTTTGACTGTTAGAGAACATTTTTAACTAATTCAAAAGCAACCTCAAACAATGACTTTACATAAGCAAGAGATAAAACTAATCACAGTCATAAACTTAAGGCATACACATAATTAGTTGTATATTCATCCTTGATGAGTTATTATGTGACTGTCACACGTACTGTCACGTGTTATTGTAGATCGGATACTAACCTGTGTAGCATTCGTAGGTAAGTGGCTTAACCCATGAACTTACTGCGCATTCCTTAGCCAAAGAGCAGTCCCTGCACTTAACCGACCATCCAATATCAAACCCGGCCTGCAATAGTTTCATGACGGCTTTGTAAGAAGTGAACTTCATGTCCGGATGATAATCTACCGGAGCCACTGCAACAAGCGAGCATTGAGGGGGATAATAGTACTCGGGGACATAAACAGCATGGAAATAGCTCCCGTTTGTTGCGGCCAAACATGGAACCCTTGTATAATTAGCAGCTGTTGGCAGGCTGCTGATGTTTTTGGAGCACTTGACGAATCGAAAATGACTGGCATAATAGATCACAGCTCCTCGGAACCGAAAATCCATGACTTTCCCGTCCGCTGTTTTGACAGATCCAGACGGAAGGCTGCAGGATCCGTTGGCAAAGTTGACGTCGACCAAACGGAGGTTTTGATCATCATATGAACTGTTGTGCACGTAGTATTTTCCCGGGAAAATTTCTAAGATGGTTTTTCCGTTCACGCAAGAAAATTCATGGTCAGGATCCCCGCAGCCAGATGGATTGCCCTTTAGACGAAAAGGGTATTTGATGTTTTGGACTTCTCCACATGAAGTAGAACAATTGACGGGTTTACGATCTCTTGCTTGCGCTCGATGAATGAAAGCTAGAAAAATCAGCGCAGAAAAGAGAATAATAGTTGAAGTGGTAAATGAACATTGAACCCTCATGGTATATTATATACGTATGTCTTAGCAGAATAAGTGATAACTATGAACTTCAAAATTGGAAAATATCATAGCAATCCCGGAACAAGTAGCTAATACTTTTATATTTCCCAGATAGTCAACCACTGAAAGTGTCAAACACCCAAAGTACGTTTTGAGCCCCATCCATGCTAGTGTTTTCTTATTTCTTCAGCTTTTTTTTAATTAATAAATTCTATTTATGTGAAATAATAACGTAATGATTTTAGAATCAAGGAAGTTCGTGCAGAAACGCGTTATGTGGAAGTTGTTGATCCAAAAAGTCTAAGTCGAGATCGATCGAGTTAATAAAAATAAAGGAATTTGGATGATCTTCAAATAAATAAAACAATGTCCATATTATTCTAATAGAATTCAAAGGTCGACGACAATTAAGCTCCCTTAATTAGCTTATTCATTTGCCAATACACTACCGAGTATAAGTTTTCATGAATATGCCAAATATCAGAGCCAGCGATGAAGTGTCTTTTTCCGAGTCGAAGAGATGCACAATAAACTTGAATAAAGTTGAGGTTCCACTATAAAAGTAATTGGTAATCTAGAAAGTAACTCAACTTACTTACAAACTTATGCAAAGTTCCTCCTCCCATCAATGTGAGATTCATTCTCAACACGCCAAGCCTAACACGTGTACAACACAACGGAGCAGCGTGGAGCGCGTATAACTGTTTGGCTTCATATGTGAACAACCTACTATGATACTATGTAAAACTTTAGTAGGCTAGGTTTTCAGTTGTTTTTGCATACCCCATTCAATCGAGGGTTGCTTGTATTTAGAAGATCATAAAGATTGACATCATCAGGTTTGAAACACGCTATTTACACGCTAGTGTGAAATTCGAACTTTATAACAGCATAATAAACTTATCTAACAAACATTCAAAATATTCTTAGACTTAACATACTCTCTTTAAGATAAGGAAGAATCACGCACACAACAGGCTTAGAGTTTGAATGTAAATGGGAAGTCTAACAAAACCAACATCAAAATTTTTCGTACTCACCACAGAGTCACTAATGGTTAAAAACCAATTCCATGTCACAGAACACATTCTGACACTATGTGAATTACAGATGCTAGTCAGGAGATGATAAAATATTTCTTTGAGTCTTCCGATCATCGAAAAAATAAACTGTCACGATGAAGTCACCAACAGATTATTTTTTGGGAGTTTTAACGAAAAACTCGCGGTACTGTTCATTTCAAAGAAAAACCATATTTTTACACGAAAAAGTCAAACTTGATACTATTCACTTTACCATTTATTTTATCTTTATCGTTAAAACTAAAAGTTTTCAAACCCTTTTCATTAGTTTTTCTTTATTTTTTTTAAGGAAAAAAAACCCCTTTTTGTACCATTGAAAATTGTAGTGCAGCCTTACAGGTGTCACTCTATTTTCTACCCTCGCACTCCTAACTTTTTACTCTAGTGAATTGAAACAAAAAAAAAAAAAAAAAAAAGGATAATCAAATTACAAGTCACAAACTAAGGAGCAGTAAAGATAAAGAAATTATGAGTGCAAAAATCACTATCCAAATATATATGATTGATTCTCAAATACAAAGATTTGTTAAGTTGCATTCAAAGATTAGGAGGAGAGAGAGAGAATTCTCCTCAGAATATTCGAATTTGGAGCATAAGTCCGTAGAAGTTCTGAATAAAAAGTGAGAATAGGACATGCCGCAAGTTAAAAATTTCTAGCTGGCAGTTTTCAATGTGCAACATACTTGGGTTTAGCATCATAGGCACTCTTGATTTAGCCATGATTCATTTGGGATGATTTTTCATATGAACATGTATATTCTAGAAAAGTACCTTTAGAAAGCGTTTTTTATGATCTTAGAAGCAATTTAAGAATTTTTGTAAAATGTAATCACTAGCGTTTATAACTACCGAACAATGTTTCAAATCCTATCATATGCAGTTTCAAACATGCTCGTGTTTGGTCCGAACATGGTGTTTACGAAACCCTTTAATAGGACACTACCAAATTATGAGCATAATAAGACTACTGTTGAAAGCTATTTCATCCCATGGGCGTACACTTGCCAGTGCCCTTGCCCACCTGCACATGTTGCTTGTCTTCCACAATATGCCCTATTTCCTCCTAAGCTCTCTTAAGCCCCCTACTAAGAGTTATTTTCTGGAGATGAAGTTAAAGATCAAATGACTATTGATAAGTTGTCGATAACATTGGTAGACACGATTGGCTTTTATAAGCTGTAAATTACATTATCGATATAAAATTCATCCTTTAATAAGGAACAGACGTCATGCACATAAAATTTTCATCCTAATTTAATACATAGAACAACTATATTACAAACTACAACCAAACATCTAGAGTTAGAGAATAAGCTTATTGAACCTATGGGATGAAATAGCCTTCAATGGTTGAGGTTTAGCCTACCGCCGCTTAGGCAGGAATTTTTCTTTGCATTGTATCGCTTGACCAATCGAAAAAGGCTAGTAGAGTAGGTGTCATATCCTTGGAACCGATAATCCCTGACATTCACTTCCGTTGACAGAAGGCTGCAGCTTCCGTTTGCACCAAAGGAGGATTTGATCATCATATGAAATGTTGTGCTTAGTACTTTCTCGGGAAAATTTCTAAGATGGTTTTTTCCTTTCACTCAAGCAAATCATCGTCAGGATCTCCGTAGCCGGATGGATCGCCCTTTAGACGAAAAGGGTATTTGATATTTTGGATCTCTCCGCACGAAGTAGAACAATTGACGGGCTTTAGATCTCTTGCTCGAGTCCTCCTCAGTCCTCAGATGAATGAAAGCTAGAAAAATCAGCGCAGAAAAGAGAATGGTAGTAGTTGAGGTACTGGTAAATTAAGATTGAACCCTCCTCAGTCCTCATGATATATACCAAACTAACATCCAAATTCATTTTTTAGTACAATTGAAGATTGCAGTACGGCCGTACATTTTGCCTCTCGAAATGATGTAATTAGATATATCTTCTCGGATAAAAGATAAGAAATGTTATCAGTACAACAAAAATGTCATCCTGCATTCTTACATGTACGAGACGACTTTTACAAGACGTAAACCATCTTTGTATACACCATTAGATTGGATTCGAATTTGGGCTTAGAGAAGAAGTCCAAGAGTAAACGGCACAATTAAGAGATGTGGTACGTTTGAAAGTTTTGGTTTGCTTATCTTTGATGTGCTAAACACTTAATCAACTGGTATGTGTGGTTAGTTAGGACGTTGGTAGGACTATAGTTTGTTGACAATGTTTTGGGCTTTGCAATATTATTGATTGACCATTATATTTTGGGCTTTGCATTATTTAATGACCGGCCCATTTTTTCTTTTCAGGAACCAACCCTTTCGTAGTTTATACTTTTTCACTTTTTTTTTTCCATTTTTAACCTTCTCCTAGGGATTTCATACCGTCTTTAAAAATTTCGGTGGAATAGAAATGAGTGCAGGTTTTGGGAGAGATTTCAACATGCATTTTTATGTGCGTGCACACTTTTATTTACGAAAATAAAAGAATATATGCAAAGAGGACATAAAGAAATATTTTCCTATGTTTTTACATATTGCACATTAGACACATTTTTCTTTGCTGAAAAGACACTCATCATTTTTGCTTCCGTAAACATGAGAGTTTGTTTGGAAATATTTTTAAAATGGTTGAAATTGTTTTTAATACAAGAAGTACTTGAATTGTTTTGAAACCCCAAAACATTTTCTTTAAATATTTTTTCAATTTTTTAAAAGCACTTATTTCCAAACGAGCTTGAATTATGTTCTAATAATAAGTTTCTAATCATTTTAAAAACACTTTCAAACAAACCTGAATTATGCTCCTGTAGTAACCTTCCCTAATTTTTATTTACCATTTAGTCACGTTTCTAATCTTAATTTTCATCACAGAATATATAAAAAAAAAATGGAGGTAAACACAAAGAAATCACTCTTCCTTATTTAATTAGCAACACGAAATAGTTACAGCCGTAGGAAAAATAATTAGAAGGACCAAACAATAAAAAAGAAAGTCTATGGCCAACAACCCTCTAAAATATAAAAAAATAAAAGGAAAATGGAAAAAAACGTAAGAAACCACCGGCAATCGTCACGACTCACAATCCATAGGCAGATTAGAGTGGATATCAGTGGTGGATACCATGTGAACATATTTATGACGTTAACATCCATTGATTCTCAGCTGATGGAAAACCAGAGGAGGAGGTCGCGGGAGAGTCGGCGGCGCGTGAGCGCGACGCCATCGCGGTGTACGACGGGAGAGCGGCAGAGAGGGCAATTGAAGTTGAGGTGGTCGAGCCAGGAGTCGAAGCAGTGCTTGTGGAACACATGGCGGCACTGGAGCATGCGGACCTGCTCACCATCCCCCAAGGTGCACAAGCACACCACGCAATTGCAATCCCCTGCGGTGGCAACGGGGTCGTCGCGGTCGTATGGATAGGATAAGTGGCGGTTGAGGGCGAGCTGGTCGGACAAGATAACGAGGCCCGCGAGTCCCGAGCCCACGGCCGGGGCGGCAGAAAGGCCTTCGTCGTAGTCTGAGCCTGGACTGGGATGGGGGCTGAGGCCCAGAAAATGGAGGAGGGCGAGGAGGGAGGACCGGAGGTGGTTGATGGAGCTGGCGATGAGTGCGATGAGTAAGAGGGGGATGGAGTCGGACGAGACGTCGTTGAGCTGGCTTTGTAACCCCATAATAAATTAATGAAGTATGAATCTGTGATCTCTCTCTTTGTATCTCTATATATAGTCTATAGATACATACATATACTATATATGTAATAAAAAATGTGGTAATTTTATGTTAACTCTCAAGGACCATACATTTTTCCTTTGGTGGATGTGTGTGTGTGTGTGTGTGTGTGTATTTGGAGTGAGAGGATAAGTAGTTGATTATGTTGTGAAGGTGGGATAATACATACAGCTATATGTATATGTGTGTGTATATATATATATATATATATATATAAGAGAAATACCAGGCAGAGGCGGAGGGGGTGTCTCTTCTGTAACTTAATTGTCCTTTTACTTAAAAAAAAAAAACTAATCTTTATTATTCTAACATTATAATTCGAATTGTTCATTTTTTTTATTATTTTAAAGATTGTATACAGAAAATCATTTAATTTGGACATTATTTGGTCATCCATACATGTTAAATTAACAAATAATTTCAATATCAAGTACCATGATGAACCATCCATTTATTTTATACATATTAATAGCTAAAAAATAGCCAAATTAAATAATATTTTACATATATAATTTGGGAATTGTTATTGGTATTTCAAAATTCTCATTCTACACTCCAAACTTTCTATTTTAGAAAGAAAAAAACACTTTTGAGAAGTGTAGAATGAGATTTTTAGAGTGCCAATAACACTTCCCTATGATAAAAAATTAACAAGTCAAATTATAATAATTAGATGATAAATATCTGTGTAATCGTAATTGAGAAAAATAATTATTTTCCTTAAAAGAATAATTAATTTCCATAAAAAGGACACAAGCATTATCCTATTCGCACCGTCACCATGTGGGTTGGGTTCCCCCCCCACTCCTCTCTCTTATTTGTTTTCTTCCTTATTCCTCACATCACCAATTTTCGATAGTGATTTTTCACCAATTTTTTTTTTGGGAGTTTTAATGAAAAGCTCACGGTATTATTCAATTTAACGAAAAACCATATTTTTACACTAAAATGTCAATCCTGGTACTATTCATTTTACCCTTTATTTTATTCTTATCATTAAAACTCAAAGTTTTCAAACCCTTTTCATTAGTTTTCCTTTCTTTTTTAACATCTCAAAATAAGAAGATTAAAGATTACTGTGAGAACAAATATGTGTATAAATCATTTTCTTCTTAAGTCTGATTGTTGTATAAAGCAATCCTTTCACATTGAGTGAACTCCGCACGTGAACCTTTTATCGTAAATTTTTCTTCTGCGAGAGAGTAGCTTCATAGATAACTTTATCTAAAAAGACAGGACTACATGCAACAAAAATATCAAAATATTGGAGTCCCAAACATATTAATTACAAGTAATTTAAAATTTTCACATGATCAAAATCGCATAACTATCCCACCGTGAGCCGTCATTTAACTCTATATATGAAAAGGTACACCAAGTATACAAAATCCTTTGGAGCAATTTTGGTGGAGGAATCTATATATAATCGTGCGCTACAAACAAGGCATTCCTCAGCCCTACATAAGTACTATATGATCATGTTCTCAACATTTCCTCCAGATATTTGGACATCGATATCTCAATCGGCTACCAAGCGAGCTGAAGTGCGTATGAGTAAGAACTAAAACATATGTACTTTGATAGGCTACTTCATTTCTGGTCGATCGATCCTTTTCTGGACCTCCATTGCACCACTGTACAAGAAAATTAATCAAATTAAAGAAGAAAGATACTTCCGATTACGCGCGTTCTGCCTTCATTGTCAGATGTGTACGAGATACAATGGACTTAAAAGAAAGAAACAAGAGTTTGGAACCCTAATTTACTTAAAGTTTAACTCCACATAAAACTGATCAATCGACAAACTAATATTCATATACGAGAGATTATTTAATGGTAAGTTCTTGCAAGCGTTCGATATCTTCTTAGTATTTCTTTCTCACTCGGAGTTCAAAATCAAACAAAGACATATATCAAATATCCACATTAATAAATGGTTTGAGTTATGACGTTTGCATGCAAAAATAATGTCGTTTTATCATGTAATTAGGATGACCATCTGTCCTACTGTCCTGGTTATTGGCAGCTAGTTGGTACGTATGTATAATCCAAGTTTGTGAATTAAATACAAAAATATCTAGAGGACATGAAAACAAACACAAGAAACCCTAATTAGATTGATGTTAATTTCATCCCCACTCCTCATGAAAAATAGGGAAACTGCAGGTGTGCATGCCAAATTGCCAACTCCCAAGCCTAATCATGCATGTCCATCCATGGGGTTTCTCATCATATCTACTCTGGGTCTTCTTGAATGATTCCTGACAATACGAGGAGAAGGATTTTTATAAGGAGAAATTAGGTTCTCATTTTTCATTTTGCTACTCTATTGATTAAAATCTCATTCATTTTCAATTTTTGATCAAGGTCTTTGAGTATTAATAACATCATTAATTGTTTCAATAATAAAATATTTTTTTATTTCTAAATATATTCATTTAATGTTAAAAATGTTACAATTAGTATATTTATATTTATGACTAAAAATTTTTATCATATATTTTTAGTTTTAGTTTGTACCCATTTTTAATTTGTATCAATTTTCTTTTCAGTTTTAATTTGTACCCATATATTAATTTCTTTTTGTGCCCATATTTTTTAAAGTTTATTTGTATTTGTACCCATATTTTTTTTATTTGTACTTTTTATTTTCCAAAATGTACCCATGCTAATTATACGTACCCATTCACGTAAAACTTTTTAATCTTAAAATGTACTCATATTTAAATATACCAATTTGTTATATGTAAAATGTACCCTTTTTTTTATATATAAAATCTATTCAATTTTTTTTCTAATCCATTTTTAAACTTATATGGGTACATTAATTCTTTTTTCTTTGATTTAAAAATGTATCCATATCAAGTTTAATCGAAAAAATTTACTAATGTTATTAACCCTAATTTTTTTTTTTTTTTTTGTGATTTTGAAGAATGTACCCATGTTTTGATACAATAATTTTTTTGGTTAATTTTGATGAACATACCCATGTTTATACACACACACAATAGTATATTTATATTTTAATATTTTTAATCCCACAAATTATGGTTTTTTATTTAAAATCTCATTTATATAAACAACTAAAATTTCTAATTTTTAATTAAAAAAATATAGTAACGTACATAGAAATAAATTATCACATTAATTTCAGGGACCTCGATCAAAAATTAAAAACCAACAAGGTTTCAATCAAAGAATATTCATAAATAAGGACCGCATCCAAAGTCTCCCTTTTTATAATGAGTATTGTGACACCATGTTTTAATCCATTATTAAAGAGTCACCTCAAGCCAACAACATTTTTTTTTTGCGTGAAGGCTAACCCTCTAATGATTTATTCTGTAGAGAGCATCTTAATGTCATGTAAGTTGCTCTTCAAAAAGAACCATTAACCAATGAATGTAGCTTGTGTACGAAATTACGAGTTGCCGTCCATCCAATATACTCTATCTAAAATCTAACCCAATCACAATCATAATCCTAATGAATATGAAAGTTTCTTTGATCTTTATGAAATTTCGAAGCATGCATCACACTACAGAACTAGTAGAGCGGAAGCTCAGCCCGTCTTAGTCTGAATATGGCCATGCATGGCCCATATCGCCACTAGCTAGTTTCGTAAAGTCACCATTTTATTCTTTTGAGTTAAGAAAACCTATTTTTCCTAACATTAATGTGTGATTGATACATTTGATATTTATAAGATATTATTAAGGGAATATATATCTCTTCATCGTTTATTTAACTTAGGCTTCTATTTGTAAGTGGTGAAATAACATGATAATTAGGATATCTTTTCCTTTAACTTACTAAATTTTGGGGTTTAAACTCTTTCTTTTCCATATAGATTAGTGTAGAATAAATTGATTTCTTGGTAAGTGGTGGATTGTTTTAGTGTTTACATAAAAAAAAAATTAAAAAAAAGTTAATTTCCATTTAATTTCTTTTATTCGCATTAAAAAAATAAATTGATTCCTTGGCAAAACACTATGGTTTGAGTAATTTATTAGCTAACTTAAGTTTAAAATAAAAGAAATGTTAAGGGGACTCTCTCAATTCTCAAAAGTGAAACATTTCATGGATTCTCTGTCACTTCATGTTTTTGGCACAATGTTTTCTAATGTTATCTTGAAAATTGATATTAAACTGTGAGGTGACAGAAAATTCACAAAAAAATTTACTTTAAGAGAGTTCTCCTAGCATTTATCTCAAAATAATTGTATGTACTGTTGATAAAGCCATGCTGCGTTATAGGTGGTAATCAATATAAAATTATTCAACAGGTAAATGTCACATTTACATACCTTGAAAAGAGATGATAGCAAGTTGATAAGGAAAAAATAATAATTAAAAAAATAGAAAACAGGGAGCACGATAACAAAAGTCAAATCTTCTTCTAATTTTAGTTGGAATTAGCCACATTAAGAAATACTGACCAACTGATATGAACTTAATCAAGTTGATTAGAGGGACGACAGAGTGCTCCACTTTTCACACCTAATTTTTGAATATCTTCTCCCTTTAATTTAAATTAATTTGATATAAAATACGCTTTTATAAAAAATTTAAAGTATTAGTAATTAACTATCCATATCCACGATATTATGTGTATGAACTCAAATTTTCTCACCTTTAACCACAAGAATATTTCTTTCTTTCTGCTAGATTAGGTCGAAACAAGAACATGTGATCAAATATCCTAGTACACAGGGTATTAGCTTTCACTTATGCGTTTTAGGTTCGAAATTCCCTTTTTTCCTAAATTATTGTAATAGTTTCGAATCCTTTCATTCATTTTATAATAATATATAAAAATTAAAAAAAAAAAAAAGTGTAGAAACAAGAACATAACCAGCACAGCAGCTGCATTGGGTGGCAGGAAAATCAGTTGAAAATGAAAAATAATTGTCAGTAAGATATCCAACATGTATATAAACAGACATGTGATTCCGACCATAATTAGTGATTAACTAATGACAAGC